CTCGCTGGATTTGACACTCTTTTAAGCTTCACAATGCACAGATGCACATTGGAAACTTAACTGTGAGGCATGCAACTTAATCGACCTTGACCTTGGCCTAGTTAATCTGATTTGATGAACTTAATAGATGAATATTTTTAGCATGATTTAAGTTGTCTAAAAAAATTAAAAATTAAAAATTAAAAAAAAAAAAAAAAAAACTGAGAAAGAAAGAAAAAAATGACCAGTTGACATACGTAGCCTTTCCAACTCGAGTTATTAAGCCCTAGGAGTGTCTCTACACTTAGCACCCTAAAGCCATCTGGTTTAGGAGTTGTTGGCCTAACGCTTGCTACAAGGGTTGGCTAGAAAGCATAAAGGACTTAAACATTGCACGGTCATTCAAAAAAAAACTTGTAATAGCATGGTTTGCTGGAGTTCGTAGCCTTTCCAACTTAAGCTATTAAGCCCTTTGGAGTGTCTCTACACTAAACAACCTAAAGCCATCTGGTTTGGGAGCTGTTGGCCTAACGCTTGCTACATAGGTTGGTTAGAAAGCTTAAGGGACTTCAGCATTGCACAACCATTCTATGTTTCGCTTATGAGTTACAATAAATTGTCAACAAGCAACAAAAGTTGTCTTGTAAGTAAAATCATGCCTTAGGGACCTCATTTAAAGGGGAATTCAATGATTTGAAAACTTGTGCTTGGAAATTGGAAAAGAAAGTAAAAGCCGCATGTTAAGAATCCAATCCACTTTCACTGAAGTTAGAGTTGATTTCCATTTAAGAGATGACAATTGAGTTATTTATATGGACTATGATGTTGATACATGCATGTTGAAATGTGTTTAGTATCAATGCTTTATATATGCAAGGTAGTCTTCCCAATGACCCCATCTCCAGCTCTTTTTCTGTTTCAAGTTATTTTTGAGTTATGTATATATCTCATTTTACCATGGATGATATTTTTATAGTAGCATGCCCATGGTTGTCTTTTCATTAAGTTTTTCATTGTAGTTTTGCTAAGGGACTAGCAAAATGTAAGTTTGGGGGTATGATAAGCGCCGAATATTGCATATTCAAGCGCCCTAAATTGCATTAGTTAAGTCCATTATTTGATTTCTTTATGTAGATTATCTTCGTTTGTGCATTTTTGTTCATTTTCAGGTTCATTGGCTTAAAAGAAGCAAGAATGATGTTTTGTTGAAATTTTGAATGCAAAGGCACAATGCTGAAGCTTGGCAGCAGTGGAACCTGACTTTTGTCGCCATTTTTGACCTAGAAAACTCAAGAAATGGACTTCCATCATACCATAAAAGATTTAAAGCTCTTAATTAGCTTTTTAAATCTTCAAACGGTTTGTCATTCGGAGCTCGGAGCAGAGAGTTATGGCCTTGTTACCAGAGGTGCGCAGAACTGCCTGGCAGCAATGAAATTTTGCCTTGATCTTCATTTTGACCAACCATCCTTGAGAATTGGATCTCCACCAAAACATGAAGTATTTAAGGATCTGAATTAGCTATCCAAATCTTCAAACGGTTTGTCATTCGGAGTTCGGAGCGCAAATTTATGGCCGTTTTACCAAAGTAGGTCCGGGCAGAGCAAGGCAAGAATGGAGCATTCTGCTCCAATTTCAAGTGCTCGAGCCCTTATTGCGAGTGCTCGAAATTGGGGCAGAATTGCATCCAGAAATGGCCCATTTTTAGCCACTTGCATCTTGGGTTCCTCAATTCTAATTTTCCTCTTTAATGGTTGGTTGGAGATGTTGGTTGGTGGCCTTTTTGGGTGGATAAGATGTCTACAAAGGAGGGGAGCCACACATATCTTAGCTAAGCTTCATTTTGGGAAGATAGAGGGGAGAGAAGAGAGCAAGGAAGAGGGGGTTCTTGGAGCAAAAAGAAGGGAGCTCAAAAATGGAAGGAGGATCCATGCTTCTTCCTCCATCTAGGGCCACCATAGGTAACTAAACCCTCTTCTAGGGAGGTGATGAAACTCCTTCTTGTAAGCATGTCTTGTTTTTTATTTACATTTGGGGATGTAATGTATATATATGACCTCTCCATGAACTAGAGCTTTATTTGATGTGAAGAGCTTCAATGTCTATTAATGATCATTTTGAGTTTAAGATCTTGTCTTAAGATTGTTTCCTCTTATGATTATTTTGCTTCCATTTTCATAGTGACAATGAAGATGAGTTTATGGAAATGTTTTTATTGGCATGATGCTTGGGAAATTTGATAGTCTATAGCTTAGGGTTCTCTTTTGATAGATTATTCTTGATTCCTAATGTCATGTGCTTCTACTATGTGATTAAGGGCTTGATAACTCTATGCTTAGTGAGTATGTCTAAGGTTGCAACCTAGTTTAGGTAACCAAAACATGCAATACTTTGATAAGTTATTCTTGCCTATTGATTTCATAAAAAATTCTTGAAGGAAATGTAGCAATTTTATGTTGTTGCATTTCATGGTTATGTGTATATATTATTCCCCAAGTAAATCATGTATTAACATGCTTATGGATAGGTAGTGAATTCACTTCCCTAGCCCTCTCTACCTAGATCTCCTTCCTTTACATTTCTTACATTCTTGTTTTATGCATCTTTACATTCCTAGCTTTAGTGACAAACCAAGCAAACACCCTATTCCCCCTTATCATTCTAAAACGATTCTAGACGCTTAGGTTGCCTTAAACTAGCGCAGTCCCAGTGGTTCGACTTACCCGACCAATAGCCCTATTTTACAATGATTCGTGCTATTGCGAAGAGGGTTGATTTATAATTGACTTCGACCATCGATCATTATGCAATTCAAACACATGGAAGCATGTTATACAAAGCAACAAGATATAGATTCCCAAAGTATAGACTTGAAATCTAAAGATACAAAAACAACTAAAGTGGGTCATGCCACCTAACGTCTATGTTCAAAATAAATTTATAGGATCATTCATAAATTACATTTGAACATGAAAATACAAATCATGATATTAATGCAATTTAACCAACATTGGAACTTCTAATACAACGTATAAAGCATGATTTCTCAAAATTAACATCTTGCAACTTAAAATGGGAAATCAAACAAAGACCAACAAGTTACGATACCATCTAGTTATCAACTTAAAATGAAATGCGAAATCAACCAAAGTAGATACTTGGACATCACGCCAGATCAGACCGACAACATAGTTACTTTAGGGTTACTAGCCCATGGGTAACCTCCCTATGTGCACACTAGACTATATAGAGGGACAATCCCCCGTACTAGAACCAAGTCCTAGCCGTAGCCAAACAACGACATCCCCAAGTTTCCAAAATCAACAAGTTATGCAACAACGTATATATCAATATGTATATATAAGATAATTAACCATCTACTATGCACAACCGAATTTGGAAACACATATAATACATGCTCTAAGTCCACAACTACTAAGGGATGACAAATGTTGAATCTTCAGTGTGCGATTCGTTACACGCTATAACAAAATATCTCAACATTGAAATCATAAACTCATGAATCTAATACAAGTCCAAAATCATGATTTAAACATACTAGCAACGTCAAGTACATGATTAAATCATTATTGCAATACAAATGGTAATTAAGTAAATAAACTAATTAATTTCCTTAGGTTTGAATTCTCAACTAAATGATCCTAAATTAACACATGTTAAACAATATAGCATGGTAATTACATATACCAAATCAAAACTTAACTAGGTTATTGAAACAATAAGGTAGAATTTAATTAAAACATGATAATTAAATCTTTAACTCCTAAAACAACTTCAATTGGCCCCAAATTAATATATGCTAGTATATAAGTCCTTGTGACGACCCTGGATTTTTCAACCCAGTGTGTCCTATAATGATCCGAAGCGTATCTAGAATGCGGAAGTAAAACAAAAACAAGTCCATAGAGATGTATGTTATTCCTAGGATACAAGAATGGCCTTTCAAAAAGTTTTGAGGCTCAACGGAAACAAAATGAAGACAAGGGTGTCAAAACCCTACCGAAAGAAGAACCAAGGGTAAAATGGTCATTTTACCCTAAGAGGAAGGAATTTAACTTCCAATAAGTCAAATAAAGTCAAAAATATCCAAAAACATCCTTTGGTAACTTCACATGAAGTCCCAATGCCAAAGGAAGTGAAAACCCAAAAGAACCCTATCCCGGTTCAAACCAAATTCTACACCCTCTCACTAAAATGAGGATATCTTGAGTTAAGAAAAGAATATGAAACTGAAATTAGTACCATTGGAAAGCTTATTTTGACATGGTCAATTTAGAAACAAGAACGGACCAATTCGGAGTTAAAACAAAGAAGTTACATCAGTTTGAAGTTGGATGACCAAAACTGAAATCTCTGGAGGACTTGAACCGGTTCAGCCCCCCTTGAACCGGTTCAACATTGGCAGTACACCCAAGCTGAACTAAAATGACACCTTGAACCAGTTCAGCCCACCTTGAACCGGTTCAACCCACCCATGTTGCAGAAAAACAGCAGAAACAGTAAAAATACAGAAAAATTAGCTTGAAACGCGGTTTTCGAGACCAATATGACATTTTTCAGAAAAATGTTGTGAAGAAACTCCCCCTAAAATCACATAATCTATGTGATGGAGTTGAGAACAGAATTTATTTCTTAAAAAAAATTCCCAAAATACCCTTAAGCAAGATTTTTTAACAAAAGTGTGAAATGAGTCCACTGGAGGCTCATTTCACCACGGAAGGGGTTTTTCTTGAAAACAATTATGCATGCAAATATAAATAGTGACTTTGAGCACGTGGGAATGGTCCATGGCTCCCGAAAATGGTCGAGTCAAAATCTTACTCCCCAACAGCCAAAAAGGCGAAAATGAACTTTAAATGGAAATTTTGAAATCTAAAATTAACAAATGACTTCAAATTACCGTTTGGCCCTCGGCCACACTTCATACATGATTAATGAGACCCTATGAAAGAATGAAAATAGAATTCCCACACCCGATGCACCCATGGTGAAACAAGAACTTATCATTTTTCAATATTCTCATATTATTTCATGAATTCAAAATTTACATAGGATACAAAATACATGTCATTAGCCTCCGGTCTCATCTTATACATGTCAAATACATTATAAATGATGTACTTATGTTCACATTACATAAATGGAATAAAAAATACACATTTTGACAATTAAGGCTATAAGTGACATTTCAAGCCAACCTTTACAAGAATTAAAACCTTCAAATCTACAATCATCCAAGCAATGATGAACAACATGAACCAAGTCTTCGTACCTGATCAAAACCCCCAGTAACTTCGGGGTGAGTAAACAAGTTTACTCATAGAGAATGAGCCTGCATAGACTCGATTTCTTTAAGATTTTTATATTAACTCGAAACAATTCAAAAGGGGCCATGCCACCTAACGTCTATGTCATGATGAGACTCAGGGAGCATCCTAAGCTACTCATGTAATTGAAATGAACAACGACATACAAGTATACATGTTCAAGTATACTAAACGATATTAAAACATGGTATATAACATATAGGCATACATTTCCAAGTATACTAAACCATATTAAGACAAGTCATGCAATGTCTAAGCATACCTACACAAGTAAACAATAAATATGGAAAGCTCATGAATCAAGTATACATACACAAGTATACTAAACAAGATGAGTTGTACATGAAACAAGTATACATAGCACAAGTATACTAAATGAAACCTACGCACACGGAATAAGTATACTAGCTCAAGTACACTAAAAGAGGCTCAAATACATAAACAAGTACACTAGTCCAAGTATACTAAATGAGGTCAAAATACACGAAGCAAGTATACAGTTTCAAGTATACTAAACAAGATCCATATACACAAGGCAATCACCAATTCACAAGCTACAAGTAATCCATGATTAACAACTTGGAATGGAATGCGAAATCAAGAGTGGAAAGACTAGGACATGCGGTCACTAGACTAAACAAGTGTTTCCGGGTAATTACGACTCACAAGGCACTACCTAATGCGCACATGTATAAGTTATTCCGGGTAATTACGACCTACAAGGTACTACCTAGTGCGCACTTATGACTTAGAAGACTCTTGTCTCCGTACTAGAGCCAAACCCTAGCCATCACATGAAATATGTCCTTACAAGCTTTCCAAAATCAATAAGTTTAAAACTTATACCAAAATCAATAAGTTAGACCAAACTTATATCAAATCCAATAATGCATAAAACCATATTCCATGCACAATTTAAGGTTGAATTCACAAAAATCATGTCCTAAAATTCAAGTCTAGATAGCATATGACATGTCAGGTCTCCAATATGCAATTTATATACCAAAACAAGAATATTTTACAACAATGGAGCTACATTACCATACTAAGGCAGAAGTACCAAATAAGTCCCAATTTAGTAACTAGCTTCCAAAGTAAATAATTGTAATATTCTAACAAGCTATATACCTACAAAAGATACATTTAAGAAAGCTATGCAAGTCAATGATATTCTATATCATGCTAAGTCCCATTACCTTTTTAAGGAGCCACAAGTACTAATTCTACATCAAGTTAGTAGCATGCTCACAAGGTAATTAAACATACTATCTTTCAAGAGATTTTCAACATAATCATGGAAAGTCTCTAGATTTCAAATCAATTCCAAATAACCTCAAATTAATATATGTTAAACAACATAGCATGCTCATTACATATACCAAATCAAAAGAGCAAAATGAGCAAGACTCCATTATGTAAGTTTTAATTAATTTAAATTAATTAAATCTCTAATTTTTCAAAAGTTGTTCAAATGATCTCAAATAATTATATAACAAGGATTAAGTCATGGCCATGCTATATGTCAAGTCAAAAATGAAATAGAAGCAAGATACAATTATCTAGAATTTAAATCAAAATTAAATTCATTAAATCTCTAGATTTAAAAACTCATTCAAATGGCTCCAAATAAACATATAACAAAGATCAAGTCAAGGTTATGCCATATAGCAAGTCTAAAGTGAGTTATATTTAAGTTACAATAAATCATTAATTTCTCAAATTAATATACAACATGCATACAACTTGTATTTCATACTAAAGCAAATAAAACCACTTAGAAAATAAATTATAACACCCCCTACCTCACTAAAGAAGAGTCTCTCTAGAATCCAAGGCAAATCAACACAAAATGGCAAACCATTCAAGGGTTATGTAGAGGAGGATGAGAGGAAACCTTTGTCTTCCAAGGTCAATGGTCTAAGGTGAGTGGAAGGCCCTCAAAAAACATAGTCAAGGCCTAAGGCTTCAAGCTCCATCCATGGAGGCTAGGGTTTTCTTTACAAGAGAGGGAAGAGATAGAAATTAAGTGTGATAGAATGTGAGTGGAGGAAATAAAAAACCTCCACTCACTATGTGGTCTTACCAAGGTCAACAGACACAAGTTTGGTCAATTGCACAAAAACCCTTTTTTAAAACCATAATCCCAAAATGGCCCAAAAATAATTGCAAGACTTAATTGTGAGCCTACACTTGTCACAAATCCAAGGCTCCATCCTAGGCTTAATCTCAAGCCTACAATTGTCAACCATCCAAGTCAATAAGTGCACCAATCCTAGGCTAACAAGTGGGTGAATCTCCACCCTCCACCTGTTATCATCCAAGACATCAAAGTGTTTCTACACAAATGTCAACAAGTGGACCAATGAGAGTGTGACACTTGTCACACTTTTTAGAAATTTTAAAAAGGTCCTTTTTGAAAATATCTTCTAAATTAAATTACAAAATTATCCCTAAGAGGAAAAATAATTACTTATAATAATTACACAAAACCCCACAAGTTAAGAATATTACAAAAAGGTTATGCATCCATACCCTTTACAAGAAAAGTAAACACTTAGTATGCTTTTCTAAGAAAGTAAAAATACACATGGCATGGAATTTAAATATCATGGATGCATGCAAAAATCGGAATCAAATCCGAACACGAAAAGTGAGGTTGTGCCAACAAAGTGATATACGGGAAAAAACGAAAAGTGAATAGTGTCGAAAAACGAAAATGTGGAAATGACTCGGTCCTCAAAGGAAGTTGCCAATCCAAAGGAGAGAGTCTCAAAAGCCATTTCCGAGCACTCGAGATGACACTAAATAACGAGAAACTGAACTCAGAAAAGAAATTTCAACGAAAAAAATTCATCCGTAAAATTCTGAGGAAAAAGGAAAGGAAGGAAATGACCGGGTCATTACAGTCCGAGTCATCACAATTGCCAAGTCAAAAACTTAATGAAGTCAAAGGAACCACTAAATAGATTTTTATTAATCCTTCTAATTAAAATCTCTAGATTTTTAAACTTATCCAAATGTTCTCAAATTAAAGTATGTTAAGGAACATGCCAAGGCCTATTTAAATGTCATATTACAGCTTAATTTCATGCTTGCTATAACCATGTGAATTAAACTTTCACAAAAGATAGATACTAAATAAATTTTGAAATTCTTAATCAAATGATCCAAATTTTATAAAAGTCAACAACCATACCAAGGCCTAATTTTCTAGAATGCCTTAATTTAATTCTAAGTTTCAAAGCATCATGAAATTTAAATCTTAAATAAAGAAAATAATTAAATTAAATTCTAGAACTTAAATTAAAGCATGCATACAACTTGTATAAACATCAATATGCTATACATGAAGAATAATAAATTATAACACCCCCTACCTCAATTTGAGATGAAAATCTCAAAAGCCACCAAAACGAAACGGCTCCGAATTCGACAATACTTCGGGGTATTGTCAGGGACAATGCCGTGAACAAGAATCCCAAAGAAACCCATGAAAATCACAACTTGACCTCAAACCCGAACTCAAAAAATGGTCAGAAATGATCTCTAATAAGGGTGAAAGATGCGCGCCGTCAAGACAAGCATTAAACACTAAGGCGCTACGATGTTTTAACGAAGGGGAGGAGCTCAAAAGAGGAGAGAGAAGGTGGCAGCCCCATGGACATCCATGGCTGCTGACCAAGAGAGGAAGAAGAAGAGAAAATTTTGATTTTTCTTCTTTAAGTCCCCTATTTATAGAAAAACCCTAAAAGTGCCCTAAAAGGGCCCCACCGAGTCCGGAAAAGTGAAATTTGAGTAGACGCGCTCAAACGGAAAAACTCCATGAATGAAAAAGATTTAAAATGAGAAAATATGAACAACGAAAGAAACGGAGTCAAAAACTTAGTCTCGAGCAGAAAGTTATGCCTCAAACAAGTTTGGCGGCAATTAGGGCCAAAAACCCTGAAACTGGAGAAAAACAACCAGAAGGAAATTCTAAGAGCACACAACTCCACGAAATGTGAAAATGAATCCAGTACGAGGATCCAGGCCCAAAACGAGGTATTTTTGTAATAACTTTCCTTAATTGCACTATGGCCCCTCAAAAAAGTGAAAACTGCACAACTGCCCCAGAATGAAAATATCTTCCAAAAAATATTTTCTTAAAAACCCTTGAAATAAAATATCTTCAAAAGATATTTACGAAAAACACCCCAAGAAAAGAAAACGGTTCTGAAAAACTATGCATCCATGCCCCTATGGACACCGAGAGCAACCAGAGTACTTTCTTACAAATGTAAAGATACGTATTTCATCGAAACCACTTAAGATGAAGGTACATGAAGTCAGAAATCAACTCCGAGCATGAAAAGTGAGGCTACGCCAGAAAGTGACAAACGGGGAAAAGACAAAATAGGGAAGAGGACGAAATAGAGAAAAGGACGAAAAGTGAATAGTGTCGAAAAACGAAAAATGTGGAAATGCCTTGGTCCTCAAAGGAAGTTGTCAATCCAAATGAAAGAGTCTCAGAAACCAATTCCAAGAACTCGAGACGACACTAAATGACAAGAAACAGAACTCGAAAAAAGAAAACTAAACGGAAAAAAAAAAATCATTCGTAAAATTTCAGGAAAAAAGAAAGGTAGGAAAATGACCAGGTCATTACATTGTATTTAAAGGGAATTGAACCAATTGTAATATATCTTTTGTCTTCAATTTTATTTCATTGTAATTTTTATTCTCTCTCTATAAAAGTTAGAGATTAGGGTTAGAAAAAAAGAGAAGAGTTGAGGCACCAAGAATACATCTCAAGATCTACACACTCTCTCTCTCTAGAATTCAACAAAGAAGAAGAGGAAGAAGATGGAGCCATGTTTGGGGATTGCCCTTAAGAGTTCCAAGATCACACCCACCTCCTCTATGATTGGCTAGACTTCTCCTTGGGGCTTAGATGAGCCCCAAGTTTGTAATCTAAACCTCTATCTCTTTCATACTTTTTGGGAAATAATATGTTGTGATTAGTGTTTTAGCCTTGTGAATTTAATGAATCTTGGGTTCTCATTTGATTTATATGAATTAATTCTTTTTATTGATTCTCTATGTTTTGGAATTGATTGATCTCTACACTAGTTTTTCTATATTAATTGCATGTTTATGTGTGGTTGATTGAGAATCTAGAGATGCCTTAACATGGTTTTTATTATATAGGTTTGTCAATTAATTTGATGGATTATGCTTATGCTTGATGGGTTGTTCTATAATTTAATTCATGCTTGTAGGTAGGTAGACAATCTTTACTTGATTTGATATTCCATAACTTATTATTGCAAATTCCATGATTCTTTAGATTAATGTGTGCTATAATTATGACTAGTTTGATGGGTCATGCTTAGAATTGATGGGTTGTGCTACACTTAGTTTATATGTCGATTAGGTAGACAATTCCTTATTGAATTTGATGGTTCATGTTTAATATTGTAATTGGTAGTCGCATTTTGTTCACAAGAATGTTTTCCCCAAATTAGTTGAAAGTGTGGTTTGGTGAACGAGCTTGGTGACGATTCTAATGCACCCCAAGACCTCACTTCTCATCTCTTAAATCCCTATCTCAACTTAGTTTTATTTTACTTGCATTTTAATTAATTAGTTTCTAGAGTAATCAACGAATCTCCCTCTTTGAATCAATTGATACATTAGAGTCGAAATTAAATTCCAGCACGTATATTCTCTGTGGACGATCCCTACTCGCTATACTTCATTAGTTGTAGTAGTGGTTTTTATAAATGTAAATTTGACTAGAAAGGCTTCTGAAACCACATTTATATTTTGACCTTGCGAAGCGACTTCTCGCATTACAAAGTCCATTTTCTAAATATATAGAAAGGGGGTTCGTCACAACTCGAATCTAATAGGTCTGAATTGTTTGCGAGTGGTGACACGTTATCATACCCTTAACCAAACCCGACAGTACTCTCAGCTAAAGGGGTCATATATCATTTGTATTATTAATTAACGAGTTTATCAAACCACTAGCATAATGCATAACATAATTGGAATGAGGTGTTGGATCAAGGACACACATGTCTAAAATACATACTTATATAGGAAGCTATAACCAGTCGCAGGGATTGGACGACCAGTCGCCCAGTGCCCTGAGCGCATAAAAGCTGCACGCAGAGCGACGACCGGTTGTAGGGGGCTACGAGCGGTTGTTGACACCTGAACTCTTTGTACTACGCAGTAAAAAACCTCAAATTCAATTTTATTTAATAGATGACCGGTCATAGGAAGCGATGACTAGTAGTAAGAAGCAACGACCGGTCGACCCAACCAGAAAATTAGCCTTAACACTTTTAAAATTTATCCCATTTTGTGAATTAAACCTGCCCTAAGCACAACAATAGAACAATAAAAGACCAATGTGTGTGTGTGTATATATATATATGTGAATCAACAAATTGGAGTTAAGGATAAACGTAGCATATTCCCTTTCATTTTCAAGATTATATACAATTTAAAATTTAATTCATAGGTTACATGCCCAAATTACAAAGTAATACTTATACTACTATCAACATGCCCCCAATGCAAATGTGTAGCAAAAAACAAAAAGTATTGTTTTAACGTTGATACCACGAAGGTCAAAAGAAGATGATTACAAGGTGAGACCACTTAAGAAGTTACAATGTCCTTTCATTCAAACTAATTTTGACATTTCAACATATCCATAATCAATCAATTAAGCTCAAGTAACAAAAACAAGTTCATATAGGCAAAAATCAAACAAGTGACATGCTCATTATCTTATACCTCAATTCTAAACAATTTAACTCATGGTGATCACATATAGCACATAATTTCTCATGTAGTTTGTGAGGAAAGCAGGAACACCATTATTTCATTACATTATAAGCATAAGACTTCACACCCTTTAACAACTAAGCAAGAAATCACCATGTACAAGATCATATAATACATAAAATATCATTTTTTTTTTCTCTTACTAAGCATGCTTGATCAAAAAAACAACATGAAATATACTTTCAATGATATAGGACTACACAATTTAGACAACCCTACCTCAAGATGACCAAACCCTAGCTTTGCCCCAAATCTCAAAATGCCCCAAATGCTAAGATTTTTGGATCAAAATAAAGCTTTTAACCTCTTCTTCCTTTTCTTCAACTAGCACAATGGCCAAATCTAAGTGTTCGTGGATGAAACCAATGGTTTTAAGTTTGGGTTTTGTGTAGAGAGAGAAAGAGAAGAGATATATAGAGAGAGAACGAGTCTTAGTTGGATGATAGATAAGAAATGAGGCCAAAATTGGCCTCTAGCCTCTTTTAGAATGGTTAGTCAACAATTGGGTTGACCCCTAAAGTTATAATTAAGCCCCTTGCATGCCTATAAACCACAAACATGACATTAAATATCATACCACCTATATACACACACATATATATAAATATATATACACCAATATGAAAATGATAAATGGAAATGAAAATCGGGAAACGTCGGAGCACGGGAACTCGGCTGAGGACCCACATGGAACCTCCCGAGTTCAAAAATTCTAAAGTGGCAAAATAAACTATAAATATTTTTAAGAGTTCTAAACTCAAAGAAATGACCTAAATGACCCTCGGAACTCTTGTGAAACGCAAATCGAAACCCGAAAATAATAAATATAAATCTAAAAATAAGTGCCAAAAATCTGGGACAATACACTAAGACAAAACATCATTGAAGTCTCCCATAATAATCCATCTCCCTGACCACTACAATTTCCTGATTTTCAAGTATTCCCATTACAATACATGAATTTTATCATTTGTGTTTACACACAAAATTATCGTAACTCAAGCTCTGCCATGCCCAGAGAACTCAACTGTAACTTGGAATTCATAGTGATAAATAATACTAAACAAAGTATTAGCTGACCAAAAGAGAGCAATTCCCTTTGCTCTTCCTGGAGGGGCAGCACACACCTGCAAAATTGCATCGCTAATTTATACTTCACATCTTCAATTTTCTTTGGGTCATTCTCTAATTCCAGTACTATGACAAAATTCAGTGGAAAGAAGTTTAGACAACTTCTCAAGTTGTTGGACTGTTATGGGATTCCCCACACCCTGACAATTCCATACCAAGAGCCTTATTGGTTCCCTGAAGGCCACTTAGGGCTGGCCACCGCCACCTCCAAGATTGTGCTAAAGGATGGAGGCATAGTTGAATCACTATTTTGTGATTCATCAGAACTAGATATCAAATATTCTTTGACAGTGGAATCAGATATGCCTATGAGCTCCTTCTTCTTTTTCCTTCCTTTTTTTTTTTTTTGGCCTTAGTTGAACCTCCAGAGACAGACTGCCTTTGTTTACCCTTCATTGATTGGACTAACTGAATTTGGGCTACTTAAAAGATTGAAAGTTTAGGTTGCTTAAAAGATTGAAAGTTTGGGCCTATTCAGTCACTTTGAATTTCAGAATTTTTTTCCCTCTTCTAATGTCTTATCCAACCCACTTAATTGGGCTACTACATCCACTTTTTTCCGACTTTGGGCTGAATAGTTGATTCTTGATAAGCTTTGTCTAGTTTTATGGAATATTCATAGCATCATGGCCCAAGTTCAGATCCTCCTGACCCAAGCCCATAACTTGCATTTTACCTGGGCTATCCACATCCTTAACATTCGTCATCTCCTCCTGTGAATTCTCATATGCCATCGAGTCACTAATTGAGTTTGGGTTACTTAAAAGATTGAAAGTTTGGGCCTCTGCAGTCACTTTGAATTTCAGAATTTTTTTTCCTCTTCTAATGTCTTATCCAACCCACTTAATTGGGTTACTACATCCACTTTTTTTTTACTTTGGGCCTAATATTTGATTCTCGATAAACTTTGTCTAGTTTAATGGAATATTCATAGCATCATGGCCCAAGTTCAGATCCTCTTGACACAAGCCCATAACTTGCATTTTACCTAGGCTATCCACATCCTCAACATTCATCATCTCCTCCCGTGAATTCCCATGTGCTATCGGGTCCTCCTTACCAATTGAGCAGGTTTCCTTCTCAGACACACCAACTTTTCTTTGCTCTCTAAGATTAACTGTAGTTATCATCATGACTATCGATTTCTGAGAGTTATGTCCTAACACCAATCAGCTTTAGGGTCGAGGTGGCCTCCCCATCTCGGGTGACTTTAAGGCTGATAACTATGATTTTGTCATAAAAATATTCCTCTCCGACTCTTCCTCAATAGAAATTTGTTGGTGATTAGGAGTATCTTCCTGCACACTACCACATATCTTACCAATATCTTTTCTGATGGTTCCTTGGGCACACATCCAAGGACCATACTCATTTTGATTGAGCTCAATAGAAGAATCAACATGCGTATAACGCCTCTTATTATGCTTAATTTGTCCACACCGGTAATTTAAGGAGGGAAGATTCTCATAGTGTAGCAGAGCCCATACCTCAACCCTAACCTGCTCTAACAACAAAGAGAAAGGAAGAAACTGAACCTGCACCTGATGTCGTCTTAGGTGTGTGCACAAAATAGTATAAAACTTTAGAGAGCTTCAAGTGGGCATCACATTTAAAATTTATAAAATCACTAGACACTTATACTATGTTGTATGAAGTGAGAAGAGATTGTCCCAAGAGATCAAGGGAACTTGGAATTAAACTTGGATTAGTGGATCAATTAATTGAAAAGAGTTTAGTTTGGTTTGATTAAACTACAATTAACTAAATTGAGCAATGCAAGAAGAAACAAGCTAAATAGAGTAGAGTTTAGAAAACAGAAGAGGAGTTTTAGGGCATAGGAATCACCGCTAAGCTCATCTACTAAACCACTAGCATTAATCTAATTGGGGAAAAGTAATGTTGTAACCAAAATGTGTAATACCAATTGCATTAATGAGCATGGATATCAAATACAAGCATGAATTGTCCACTTAACAACAAGTAAACTAGGATGTAGTACAATTCATCAAGTCTAAGTATAAACCATCCAATTAACCGACAATTGTAGCACACATTAATCTAGAGAATCATATAACTTGTAACAATAAGTATGGATTATCAAATTCAAGTATGGATTATTTACCTATCTAGGAATTGAAATGTAATTACACTACAATTAAACTAAGACAATGAAATTACGATGATTAAACTAAAGATGTAGTACAATCCATCAAGCATAGGCATAACCCATCATATTAATCAACAAATGTATCTAATGAAATCCATGCAAAGCCATCACTAGATTTCCAATTTAATCACACAGACATGCAATTAACATAGAAAAACTAGTGTAGAGATATAATCCTCAACTAATTACACATAGACATGTAACCAATCTAGAGAATTAATATGAAGCATTCAATCATAGAAATTATAGGAAAAACCAAGATTCATATATTCACAAGGCTACAACATTCATTACAACTACAAATTCCCCAAAAAGACAAAGAGCTGGGGTTTAGAGAACAAGCCTAGGGCTCATCCAAGCCCTAAGATGGTGTTTAGCCAGTTATAGAAGAGGTGGATGTGATCATGGTACCCTCAAGGCCAATCCCCAAACATGGCTTCATCTTCTTCACCTTGGTCTTCTTGGTAGAAACCCTAGAGATCTTGATGTTCTTGCCTCTTTTTTTCACAAAACCCTAATTCTAGAGAGAGAGAAACTATGTAATTAAAAGCAAACAAAATAAAATAATGGCTAACAATGAGTGAACTAGTGAGGAACCCCTAACAAATGGTTCATTTTGCCTTAAATACAAGCTCCTTAGAGTGTAAAACAACTCAGAAATTAGCCCCTAAATGATCCAGTCTCGCAGCCACTTGGTAGGTGAAGTTCGGGCGAAGCCAGGAATAAACAGCTCACTGCTAGCAGAGTTGCGATCAATCATGGAATTCTGTGATCGATCATGGACTTCTGCGATCGATCATAGCTGACATGGCAATCCTATCTTGATAACTGGATGTCTTATCCGCTGAGCTGGCGCTAACGTGGCATTGCGAATGATCATAGTTTGCCTTATCAATCATGAATTGAACGAACAACGACGTGACAACCTTATCCAATTGCTGACGTGGTTGCGAATAATGACGTGGCCTGCGATCGATCGTAGATGCTCCAGGGTAATTTTCTGAACTTTCTCTAGATTTTTTTGCGTGACTCCAAAAAGGCTTTAATAGACTATTTTTAGCCCGTTTGAACCTTATTGACCTGAAATAGACAAAAACAAAAATTAGAACTAAAACAGGAAAGGATAGATGAAAGGACTAAAATACCCTAGCTTAGGTACTAAAATATGTAACATTTGAGCACTTATCAACACCCATAAAATTGCACCAAGGGGGGTGAATTGGTTCTTTTACAAAAATCCTTCCCACACTTAGACAAGTTCAAGTGCAAATAGGTTCACACATTCAACCACAAGAGCTCAGTGCTTTTATAAGGAAAATATCTCTTAACTAGAGATCAAAAACCATAGTTTTTGGCCACAACCAATGTAATCTTCCACTAGTTGTAATATAAGTAGATACACACATAGTTATCTCTTACTCTGCACATACCCTAGCTCATAACAATGCACACAAACACACCCCCTATCCTAAGCAACCTTGCTTAAACCCTTTAAGCTCTCATATCTCACCAAATATATATAAAAAGATGTATATCAACAATACTCAAGCTATTACATAAGATAAGAATTATTAAACAACTTAAAGTATCAAACAACATCTCAAAACCTTCATTCTGCTGAAACTATGACAAAAGGGAAAATCCGGCATTTTGTATTGTCACAGGCCTGCAAATGGTACCCTCAACGTTATATCAACATTATACACCTGCTTAGATGATGTTCTCAATTGTTTAAACAAGGAATAACACAATTATAGCTCAGTATGGCTTATATCTGCATAAAACCCTAAAATATAGGGTTTCAGAGGTCAAAACACCAAATGACCTTTTATCTGTGCTAAGATAAACTATACAACCTTGAAAAAACTAAAAAAACTTGCTCAAATGATATAAGTTCAACTCACAAAACATGCATATGTACTAATGACAAAAGGCTAACCTAGAAAAATAAAATGTTGCACATTTTAGCACCCAAGTTAGGGTTTTTTAGTCCATTCATCTATCTTATTTTCTTGTTTTTGTTTTAATCCTTGTTTTGTCTATTTCAGGTCAATAAGGTTCAAACAGGCTAAAAAGATCCTATTAGCTCCTTTTTGGAGTCAAGAAGAGAATCCAGAAAAAGTCAGAAAAAGTGTACTGGAGTAATCTCGATCG